TCTGGTGCAAATTACTGACCTCTGTCATCATTTTAAGTGGGGGAACTTGCACAATCGGTGGCTGACTAAATACTTTTTTGCCCCACTGTACTTTGGATTTTCCTTTCAATCATTTTTTTCCCTACAAGATGTCACAAAACGGTTTATAAATGCTCTTTAAAATGTGCAGTATTATGTTTGAATATATTCAAATCGCGTATAATTACTTTTCTGTTGATCGTGTCAAAGTGTTTAAAAAAAAAAGACTCATAATTACATAATTTTGAGTATAAATTTTTAATACTTTTGGAAGAGAGACCTTATTAGGTTTAGAAGGTGCATATATTATTGCACTTTACTGTTTCGTAGGATGACAAGTGAGAACATTAGTGCTTTTTTTCTTGTGGAAAATTTCAGTGTTGTTGCTGACAGCAGGGGTTACAGTGCTAATTGTCTTTCAGAGCTTCATCAGAGATCCTGTCTCTGTGCTGATCGGTCTGCTGATGCTGCCGATGCTGTGTGTCAGCAACATCCACAAACAGCATCTGTCTTTAAAGGCCTCTTGTGTCTCAGTGTCTTTATTCATTGTCCCCCAAATTGTTTGAGGGGTCCATCGTCTTTCTGCAATTCAGCCGAGCGAGTGGCTCTCAAACTTTTTCTGTCATGGTTTGTTTTTGGAAACAAAGAAAACGCTTTGTCTCAGGACCTGCAAAATTAAGTTAAATAGAACTCGTGTAATCAAATGAAGACATCAAATCTATAAACTAGTCAAATAAGAATTACTTTGGAATTAATCTGATGATTGATAGCTTTATTAACCAAAAGTGCCTGTCAGGTCTTTTAAATGTGGTTCTTTGTTAGTTCTTCTAACCATTTAAAAAGTGACATTGGGCTCTCAGAACTTGTAAGGTGATAAATCAAAACAAAAAGAAGTGTTATGAAAACTATTAGATCCCATAAACTAGACATTTAGCAGAACAACACCTCTTTTTAGCTAAAAATGTTTTTAGTCTTTTAAAATGCCAGAATTTGACTTTCTTTTTTTCGATTATTTGATAATGAACTGAATATGTTTGTTTGGAGTAGTTCTTGGCCAAAATAAAACACTTCACCAGAGTAAATCATGAGCCACTAGAATTCATCACAGACCTTGTCGACCATTGTCTGTGTTATGCTCTGGTCTGCTTTGCTTTTCTGTTCTACTCCACTCCGCCACTGGTATTTTCCTGTTTACAGAACAAGTCTATTGTTCCTTTTACAGTCCAGGAAGTATTCCTTCTGTCCTTCTGTTGAGAGGGGGAAATGGTTTGGTACTCCTTCTTAGAATTGATTCCAAAGTCAAGCTCAAGGAGTTGAACTTGTTTTCTGTGTTCTGGCCCAACACATCAGCTATTTTGATTCAAGATGATAACGATGATGTGAGATGAGACAATTTATCTTAAAAATTGTGAAGTTGTAGAAAAAGTGAAGATCTCAATAAATCAAAATCTAATATGATACAAAAGCTTGAATCTAAAATGAATGTAAATATTACAGGCTGAGGTGGTAACGATTTCCTTTATCTGTGACTAAGATGTTGGAGAAAGTGTTCAGTTGTATGGTCATTAAGTGGTGTTGAGGACCATCTGGACCCATTTATTATCCTCCTCCATTCACACTGCCACAGTTGTTGGGATGAGCTTTGCATCAGCTGACGGAGGAATCCAAACGGTGTGTTGATTCAAACAGCAGCAGCAGCAATGACAAATTCCCTCAGCGAGTCACATGGATGCATTTCTTCAGCTTCAGTATTCAGGCCACAAATGTTTCTTTGCAGTAACATATCCATGACGGCACCACGTTTCAATCACAACTAGTGCAGTCTTGCCACATTCCTTCTTACCGCTCAGATTAATGTCCCAGTCCACCAGAGAAGCCCTGAAGCCATGTTTCGTTACACTGCAAAGTGTGGCATTGCCTCTTTGCAGTGGTCCACAAAAGGCATCAAACTGGACTCGCGGTGTTGTTTAAGGCTTAATAAGCACTCTGAGAGATGCCTCATATTCCCCATGATGATCACTGAAACTTGTCCAGCATCGAAACCCCGTCATTGGCTGAGTAGCTCTTCGGGGAATAGTAAAGAAACTTCATTGCCAAGAACATGAGGAAAAAAAAGCATTAGCATACTCATAATACTCAACTTTATATGACTTACAAAACAAAGCGTTTCCATTTCACCTTTGTATAAAAAAACAATAAGCAGTTAATTTTAACTTCATCAGGAAGTAAAGTTATAAAAAAAAGCAATGGGAGCTGCTGCCACAAGCTGTAACTCAGCAGATATGTGAAAGTAAATCTCAGACAAGACGTGTTTTGTCTTAATATCTTCACTTCATGTTTGACAAGTGTCACTTCTTTCCTTCTTAAAAATCCTCTAATTGATGAGAGGATTGAGATGGCATAAACTGCTGTTTATGCCATCTCAATGAATCTTGCAAACAGGCCTTATTAGCGTGAATGCTCTCTTTCTTCTTTATTGTTCCCACATCAATCAGATTCATTCAGCTTTGGTTGTGCTCCACATTTTTTTTTTTTCCCTGTGAAACAGGGCCGTCTGGGAGGAGGAATGCCCAACTGTTTAGAAACCACTAATAAAAAGGGTTTGTTTGGACTAGGTGACCAATGTGCTGCTTCCATCATCGTTCATTAACGGACACGTTCGTGTTGCATTTGCACCTTTAATAAAGGGTTAATTAACACATGGTATTTAAAACCAGTTCTTTTCACTGAAATATTTAAATGAGATATTTATTTAATAAATCGCATCTTTATAGCCACTGTCGCTGATATGATGACATAAGCTCGCGGTGATTGTTTGAGGATTTTTTTTCAACCTCAGTTATATCCCTGCCTTTGATTTTTGTCCGAGACCTTTCTGGCTGCCAGACAGATTTATTTCAGTCCCACAACAACAACTTGTCCTGCAGTCTGAGGTCATGACCTTCCTCTGGTGACAAATTGGTGTATGGTACTGCTCGTCTGACTCCTGAGTACATCTGTGGCCTGCATTTCCAGCTTATTTCATTAGATTGTCTTCATTAAGCTTTAGTTATTTTTCTTATGAGGAAGCTCCCACGTGTAAAGTGAAAAAAGACAAGCAGGGAAAACAAGAAGTGCTGATCAGCTGAGCTGAAGTTTAGTCACATCAGCTGATTTATCACGTGACCCAGGAACACATCATCAGGCATTCACACTCACTAACACAGACATGACTCAGGCTTCCTCTCCCCCTCCTTCTCTCTTGTGCTGTTTACTGCCTGCTCGAGCCTTTGTCCATGCTGTCTGGTTGACTGTGCTCAGAAACCACACACTGTTCTCTCACACACTTTGACATTCTCGTCTCCTATACTTCCTGAAATAAAAATCTTTGGAGCAATGACCGCTTCCTCCACTCTATAAGGGGAAAGTAGCTCTTAGGCTGATCCTAGGGTTTCACTGTCTTTTACTATTGTGTTTGCAAGGCTTTCAGGTTCTATGTGTTCAATGTCATCTAAAAGACTGCCAAGAGAAATTTCTTGATACTTTGCAGAGAGGTAGACCATGGACAAATAAAAAAAATAAACCTGATTATTACAGTAAACTACAAGGAGAAAGCATTGCTAATTTTGTTGCTTTTCAAAATATGTGAACATTAATTTTCTTACAGCCAGCTTCTAAGCAGCATCTGAGCTCATCTAATCAAATTATGTAGATACATGTCTGTTAAATCCATACATGCTGCATACTGAATTTCATTGCTTCTTATCTATGTTGTGCCAGCTGCTAAAGAACAACAGATAACCACTGTAACTGAATATTACAGGCAGGGACATGAGCCGTGTTTCAGCCAAGTTCAGTAGTTTGAAGACCTGCAGTAGCTTTCAGTGTTAGTAGGTCACATGGTTGTTTAGTTACACTCCTTTATTGTGTTCTCGTGATAGTAGTCTTATCAGAGAGTTCAGAGATCACGCTTTAATATGTCGCATCTAATGAAATCATGAGATCATCACTGAGGTCTTTGGTTGTTTGATCCAGATTCTTTTTTTGAAGCTACACAGCATTTTTCAGCTTGTAACATTTTATTATCTTAGCTTTTCGTCTGCCTGACTTGCGGTGAGTTTATTTAACAGGCCAAGTCTTAAATCAAGTCAAATTCTTAACATGCACAGGACTTCCCACTGCTGCCAGTTTTTTGTTTTGTAGTGCTTTGAAATGATTAATGACAGTGTACAGACACCAGGGTCGAAATGTTAAGGTACAGAGCCGTCTGGTGATTTGGAAATGCGATGCAGAGTTTACATTGACCTGCTGGGTCAGTGGATGTTGGAGGGCAACAACATTATTCTGCCAAACTGTCTCAGTGAGTGTTCGGGATGAATGGCCTGAGAACGAGAGCCTGTGTATGTATGTTTGTTGTACCAACTGAACGATCTTTGTCATACCTTTATTAGATAAATGTTTTCGTGCTGGCAAGCTCAGTGATCTTTATGTGATCGGTCCACATCAAGTTAAATGAATTTGCATTGATCCAAAGGAAAGCTACCATTTCTGATGTTAAAATGAATCACCACTCAGACTTAAAGGTTTCTCTGACCTGTTGTTATATTATGTAATTTAGGGTTTAATGAGTTTCAGTCATTTAACTCTTTACATGCATATTATTATTTTGTAATGACTGTTTTCTTTGTCTTTGCCAAATGTACAGGTGACCTTTCGCTGCAGAAGCTCTCTGACACTGTGCTGGATTTCAACAGCACGCAAACTTGTCCTGGAAGCAACAACAAGATTCAGACCAGCATCAGCTTCCAGTGTGGGAAAACCATGGTAAGACTGACAATCAGTAAAATATACCAAATATTCTTAGATGGATGATTACCTGTTGTTCAATAGCTGCATTTGTGGGAATGCACAGAAAATATCAAACTAACTGTTCGATGTTCTGTATGAATTTCCTTTGTCCACTAACACCTGGTGTGTGCTGACATGTTGTGCAGCAGCTGTATCTCAGTCTCTGCAATTGTTCAGCCACTGATGTGCTGCAGTAACATTAGATGCTTTTGACATAGTTTAGTCACATTGTGTGTTATATACATGGGTCAGAATGGAAGCATAGCATAGTAGAGAGGTTCTGAATAATAAATCTTACTTGCAGCATGAATCATGGTGTCCACCAATTAGCATGTGAACTACTATTTTGAAGCCTTGGCTTCATCTTTATGGACACCTCTTTTCTTTTTTCATCTCTCGCTCGCTTTTTAACCTTTATGAACGATGAAGGGAGAAAGCAGAGCTCCCGGTGTAAGGAAAGCTACATGCAACCAGTACCCTTTTGCTATGACAGAACATTGCTAATCACACTGCCACCTTGGCACATGCGCCTTTTTTTAGGAGAGAGAATTCACCATATTTGGACAAGTTGAGTGTTAAGTTTTAGCTTTAACACTAGTTTATCCATACACTTCCATACACAATGCTGATTAGTGCATAGAAATAACATACAAGTAAGCTAAAGCATTTAAATTAAAGAAATTCCCAAATGGTCTGAAAAATGTAGTAATCCATATTATTAGACAGATGTTGTTGTTGTTGTTGTTGTTGTTGTTGTTGTTGTTGTTGTTGTTGTTGTTGTTATTATTATTATCATTATTATTATTATCATTATTATTATTATAAGAGGATACATGGATGGATGGATCAAAGGACATTCTGTGTTGGCATTCTGTTGTTGCTCTTTTAATCCAAACATCATTAGTAAAACATAACATTAATCTTTAATAGCTGTGTGATGCATAGGAAGGTGGACATGATCTGTCCAGACTCTGTATTTGAATCAGGTTTTACACATGTCATTTTCAGCTCATATGTTCGAGGGCTTTCAGCAGGGGAGTCTGTGGAGTTAGCACTTGACATTGACATCATTATTTAGCCCCCAAAGGTTGCTGCTGTGCAGAGTGATTGCACAAATGATGGGTAATCCATTACAGGAGGTAGGACATTTGTGATATTGTGATATTTGATTTTACATAATTGTTCCTAACGGCAGATTTTGTCAGTTGACACAGAGAGCGGGAAACATGTTTTGGAAGATTATCTGTATTTTACAAACAGTGCAGCTCACCTATTCAAACAGACTTTAGAAATATGTTAAGTTTATAACAGGAAGACAAGTACAATCCACAAATGAATTTGAGGTTAATTACCTTATTTATTCTAAAATTAAGATGCACAGAAGATGAAGTTTATTGCGTGTTATTGCTGACACTTCGATGTCTTTTGGATACAAAGAATTAAACATCCTGTTTTTCAACACAGGAAGTTAAATGGCGCTCTGTTGTTTCATCAGGTATTTGTGTCTGTGTTGAGAAATGTGCAAAAGACAAAAAACCAAAACCCTAAGTTAATTTATTGAAAGTGAAACAAACATTTGGAAGTCGCTTTTGCTAAAACCAAACGTAACAACTCTAAGATGATGATTGTTGGATTCCTGTCGCTGCTTGTCAGTGAATCTGTGACTGGAAATGATGTAGAATAATGACAGATACCTCATAGTGTGATCCTGCTCGCTGCGTTGTGTGTATCTGTGGTTTTGATGGGGTGGGTGAGTGGTGGGTTGAAGTATCATTTCCTGTCGAGAAACAAAGGAGTTTTCTGTTTCAGAGTGTATGACGGGGAGAAATAAAAGTGGCTTCCACAATTTTTAGGGCAAATCACTAAATGCTGAAAAGAAGAAGTGATGACAGCAAAATGCAGATTATACTAGAAGTTATCTTAACAGAACTGTGCCTTGTTTCAGACATGTTGCAAAAGAGTTTCAAAAAACCGAGCGCTTTAACATATGGCATTATCTTTAAATATGTTATTCCTATATTTACTTTGTTGTTGTAGTTTACCCCTCCTTTTTAAGTCAGGTCTAAATGGTAATGTTATAGATGTTATAGTTAAATCCTCAATCTCTATTTTTATCAGTACATTTAGGAAAATAAATAAAGGTTATTGGGCTAGAAGTTAATCCTTGATGTGTTTATTATTAATCACTTTTGGAATTTTCTAGCAAACAAATTATGTTCCTGTTTCCCTTTACTGTCATATGCCCAATATAAATATGTCTTTAAAGTTTTTAATTTTACCTCTTTTATTACTACTTTTTATTGTTATTTATTGCTGTCTGAAAAGGTCTCTCCTGTAAATGAGAAGCTGAGTCTCAATGGGATTACCTGTTTAATAAAGGTTAAGGTTGCAATGTTCAGCATTGGCTTGAGGGTCAGTGAAATGGAGTGACGTCTTGTGAAGCATTCAGAGATGTCCTTTCAGTCCACTAAAAGGACTGTGCTAGAGTAACACTGCACGATTCACAGCTCAAAATAATCCTGGTTCATCCAATACTTAGTTCACACCTGTTAATTCATCCATTGTCTCCAACAATTTTAACTCTTTACCTTTCTTCAAACCAGCCAAACAGTGCCTGTGTGGGGGTATCAGCTCGCCCAAGGTGGCCCTATTAAGAATATCTGCTCTCATGTCACACAGCTATAGGCTGGCATTATTTGTACATGCACTGATCTTTTATGTTGTCATTTGAAATTTTAAGCATTTGTAATATTAGAATACACAATTATGACAGTAAAGTAAAAGGGATTAATGGGAGAAAATGTTGTTGTTTTTGACTCTGTAAAACAGCAGCTAAAATGTGGAGAATACCTGGAATTTAAAAAACAATGCTGCTGTCAAAGAATTTTTGAGAAACTCTGAAGCAGCAGCAGGCTGTGGTTGTCTTTGTTTGAGGCTCCACACTTACTTAGAAGTTTGCTGCTCCCCCCC